CAAGCCCCTCAGGGGCCAGGCCCAAGGCGTCTCCTCTCCTCTCCTCGCCTCTCCTCTCCTCTCCCCTCCCCTCCCCTCCCCTCCCCTCCCCTCTCCCACCTCTGCTGTGCTTCCCAACAGCACCCAAGGGATGCTGGAAGCCGGGGCAGGGCTCCTGCTGGGACCGTTGTTTTGCAGAACAAAAGGATGCGGGATGACCCCGGCTTCTTGGGGGGCACCTCCAGGCCTGCTTCCAGCTCCTTGGCTCTGCCCAGGCAAATGCAGGAATAAAGGAATGAGAGCACCTGGGCCGCCTGCTCTCCCGCCCCGCTGGGGGCTCCCACAGGGATCTGAATTAACGCCACCACATTGTGCCAAGCCAGCGGGACCCCGGGAAGGGGAAGTGAGGGTGGGCGAGCAGCTTATGTTTAGGGGATGGGGAAGTTCACAGAAAGTTCCGGGGAGTAACAGAAGCTGGTGGACTTTGCAGGGGGAGTCCTTGATTCTGGGGACGGACATTCCCACGCCCGGCGGGGACGTCTCTGCTGTGCGTCTTGCTCCAGTTCCTTCCTGCCTCCTAAGCTTCCCGACTCTTTATTGCTCTCCAACATCTGCTCCCAAAAGCCGAAGAGCGTTTGTGAACAGATGAGAATTTTCCTCAAGTGAGACAGCCCAGACATCGCGCTGTAAATATTTGATACTTTCCAGGATCAGTTTCTTGGAGAATATTAAGAATTCTGGATTTTGTAGTCTCTGAGTCTTGGCCGCTGATGGGATTACACGGCGCCAGGGGGCCAGGTGGTGGGTGTGACCCCCGCCTACTAGAATTTGGAGGATCTGGGTGGAAGATGCTCGACTCCAATTCGAGTAGGCTTGGAGGTCTCGGCCCCGGAACCCGCGTGGCTTTGTCCCTCTGCCAGTACCTTCAGGTGTGCGGAGAGTGGTCTCAGCATGGTGGTGGCTGGTCCTGGAGGTCTCCGGCTGCCGTAGCCCTGGCCGGGGCGGGGAGGAAAGCTCAACCCGCTCCCCTCCAAGGGACTCCGGGAAGGAACACCCAGGCGCGGGGGCAGAGACTGCACTGCTCTCGTCCGGGATCTGGATTTTGTAGTCTCTGAGTCTTGGCCGCTGATGGGATTACACGGCGCCAGGGGGCCAGGTGGTGGGTGTGACCCCCGCCTTCAGGTGTGCGGAGAGTGGTCTCAGCATGGTGGTGGCTGGTCCTGGAGGTCTCCGGCTGCCGTAGCCCTGGCCGGGGCGGGGAGGAAAGCTCAACCCGCTCCCCTCCAAGGGACTCCAGTCTCTGCCCCCGCGCCTCGGTGTTCCTTCCCGGAGTCCCTTGGAGGGGAGCGGGTTGAGCTTTCCTCCCCGCCCCGGCCAGGGCTACAGCAGCCGGAGACCTCCAGGACCAGCCACCACCATGCTGAGACCACTCTCCGCACACCTGAAGGCGGGGGTCACACCCACCACCTGGCCCCCTGGCGCCGTGTAATCCCATCAGCGGCCAAGACTCAGAGACTACAAAATCCAGATCCCGGACGAGAGCAGTGCAGTCTCTGCCCCCGCGCCTGGGTGTTCCTTCCCGGAGTCCCTTGGAGGGGAGCGGGTTGAGCTTTCCTCCCCGCCCCGGCCAGGGCTACGGCAGCCGGAGACCTCCAGGACCAGCCACCACCATGCTGAGACCACTCTCCGCACACCTGAAGGTACTGGCAGAGGGACAAAGCCACGCGGGTTCCGGGGCCGAGACCTCCAAGCCTACTCGAATTGGAGTCGAGCATCTTCCACCCAGATCCTCCAAATTCTAGTAGGCGGGGGTCACACCCACCACCTGGCCCCCTGGCGCCGTGTAATCCCATCAGCGGCCAAGACTCAGAGACTACAAAATCCAGATCCCGAAACCGCGCGGCCGCAAATGCGGCCGCGCGACATCTTATTATCTCATTCCTACTTTGGACAAACTTGCAGGCTGTCGAATGTAGCCTGCCCACAGGGCAGAGTCTGGCAAACTCCCCGTGGCCTACCAAATATGCCAAATACCAGTAACAATGATGGGTCTCATTCTCCTAAAGAGCCCTGAATATAATCTCAGGGCTAGGATGGAAGAGACGTTACTGGGGCCTGCTCGAGGCAATCGACGATTAACAGGATGATGAAAATGAAAAATGAAAATGAAATTAAGAATTCATGCCAACACTTGATAATGGGTTCTCCGAAGAGTGGTTTTGCGTGTGCCACATTGACCTTGGGAAGGCGAGGGGAGAAAGCTTGGCTGAACTCGGAACGGAGTCCCTTATTAGTGTTGTCAACGTCACCATAAAAGGTTCTCTTTTTCATCTTTTCCCCTTTCCCTTCCTCATCTCTTTTCTTTCCCTTCCCTTTTCTTTTCCTTCCTTCCTTTTACTTTTCTTTTGGGGGAAGATGATTTTATTGAGGGAGGATGGAATGAGAGAGAGAGAAAGAGAGAGAGAGAGAGAGAGAGAGGATGATGATGATGATGATGATGAGCCCAAAGTGAAGGGAATTCTTGCCCTCGGGAGGGTAGGGGTCCTAGACGCAGTGTTCTGAATTGGGATTTCTTAGACTGTTTCCACTTGAGACTCCTTTTTGCTGAGAAATGTTTATGTGGCCTGAGCACACAGATATATAAAATCAAATATTTATGGTCATGAAGCATAGAGAAACTAATTTTACAGCAAAACTTTTTTTGGAGGGGTCACACCCAGTGATGCTCAGGGGTTACTCCTGGCTCTGTATGCAGGAATCACTCTGGGGACCATATGGAATACTGGGGATGGAACCCGGATCAGCCGTGTGCAAGGCAAACGCCCTCCCCACTGTACTATCATTCTGGCCCCTACAGCAAAACTCTAAAAAGCTACCGCGCACAGGGTGGACCCGCAGTTTGAGAGGTTGGGCTGTAAAGGAGACGAAGGCCCTTCTCAGAGTGGAGCATCCGAGGTGCTTTTCTTTCACTTACTGGGAAACAGTCTCCACCTTGTTTGGCAAGTTCCTGGAGAAGCTGTGGGTTGGTCAGGACCCTTTCCTTCGCGGCTGAGAATGAGCTCTGTTAATGCGGCCCTGCACCTCCAACCCTGCAGGAGTCCCCTGCAAGAACTTCCTCCCGTGCAGGAAGAGTCTCTGGGGACCCTGGGACCCAGCTGTGGCTGCACTGGGACAAAGCCCTTCCTCGAAGAAATGAGAATGCAGTCAAGGAAATACTGTGCTTCCCGGACGCCACTGTCTGACTTGGTCCTTGCCGGTGAGAACGGAGGACACTGTACTGGGCTGAGGGGCTGAGAGATGAGGTAGGGGCAGAGGCTGCAGCCCAGCCTGTGGTCTCAGAGTCCAGCTGCAGGCCAGGAGCACAGGCTGTGCTGAGGAGGAGCCACCGTGGTTGTGGCCACAGCAGGGAGGTGACCCTGAAATCTCGAGTCCTGGCTGAGGCCAAGAGAGTCGCGGAGAGAAGGCAAGTGAGGAAAATGCACATCCGGTTCCGTGTGTAAGTTGGCCGTAGTCGAGACCCCAGACCATGTCCCACGGGTACCATGTACCAGTTTATCCTCCTGAAGGAGACTGTCACTTTATTTTAATGAATAAAACTACCATTGGCACCCATTGCCAGTCTGGCGAGGGCACACATTATCCTTTTTTGTAAAGGAATATTCAGGCACATTTTATTGATCTTAGCTAAAACCTGAAAGCCTACTCATCAGTAGTACATTCATGCAATGGAATTTTATTTTTTAAAAACTGAATCACGGTGAGATAGTTAAAATGTTGTTCATGATTGGGCTTCTGCAATGAAACTTCAGGCAGCAATAAAAACAGGTGAACCCTGGATACACAGAATAGCACGGACTAATCTCCAAAGAAGTTATGTTAAACAAATTAAACAGGAACAAGTTCATGCTGTCATTATTCTATTGTTTCAATTTAAGCTTTATCTTTCGGCATGGGAGTCAGTGAGGAAAATTAACTTCTGGAGAATAGAAATATTCTGTCCCAACTGTGGTAGCTTACACATTTCTCTGCGTCACCAAACTACTCTGACATGCATGTGATTTACTGGATGGGTATCACACTAGAAAACACACCTCTTTGAATTTCCCCTTGTAGGCTGCAGATGGCTAGAGTATGTGAGGACTTAACCTGTAAATACTGAGGACACAACTGCTGGGTCACAGGGTGTCCTCTAAGGGTCTGCCAACTGTCTTTCAAACGTGGCACTGTTGTTCCCACCAGCAGGAAGTACTCGGGCTGCTCCCCACCCGCCCCAGCACTTGTGTGTGTCAGTTTGGTCATCCTAACACACATGTAGTTGTGTCTCGTTAATTCTCTTTCCCTGATGAAAAATGATGTGAAATATTGTTCCTTGTGCTTGTTATCTTTTACCACTTTGTTTGTGTTTTTACTTCTACTTTTCAGACCTTGCTCCAGGCTCTTTGGGGGCTGTTGGGTTCTGCTATGTGGATCTTGTCCTTTTTCTTAGTGTTTCCCTTGTTGGGTGTTTCCTGTCCGCAGGTCCTGTGAGAGGACTCGTTTTCCCGGGTTAGTGTATGTGTGCTCCTTTCCTCAGGCTTGTGGCCCCAGGAGACAGCACCATTGCTGTGAAGTCAGTGATTGGTTCCAGGGCCTCCAGCTCCTCTTCCACTGAGCCTCATGGGCGCTTTACGATTCTCGGGAAATTCTGCATGCTTCCTGTTAACATTTATCTGTGGGGTTTCACCTCCTAACTACTTTACTCATGATTCTCAGGAGGAGAAATGAAGACGTGGGTGCCATTATTGTTACCATCCATCCTCCCACTGTGTGTATGGGTCCCTCATGGGCAAGTGCTCTGAAGGGTGACAACACAGGGGTGTGTGGCTTCCCGCTACCAACACCTCCCACGGAGGACGGGGGAAGGAGGTCACAGAACCCCACAACCCACCTCCCCGGCCATGTGAATGCACTGGACACTGCATTCCCTGTGATTTTGCATGGAGTTTGGGAAGGGACACACCTCTTGAACCTTTTTTCTTAGTTTTATTTCACAAATGTTATAGCTATACAATACTAGAAAAATACTTTTACATTAACTTATGTATGAATTCTTCAAACTCAAACTTTTGCACGGGACGGTGGACAGGGGTGGCAGGCGCTGTGTGGGGTTAAGAATGGCCTCTGCTCCTGCATGTCCTTGGGCTGGCTGGGCAGAGGCGACCCCGAGGCAGCTGCGCAGCCCAGAGCGGGGCGCTCCTCCTGGGTTACTCCGACCGCCCCTGGCCGACAGGACCTTGGCCGGCTGCTCCCCCAGCTCAGGACCGGTTATCTTCGATGACGATCGTTCTGCCCGGGTAGGAGTCAAGGTCCACAAATATGTAGCGGAACTCGTACTCCCCGTTGTCTGGGTTCTGGAAGGCAGGAGGGGCCCAGGTCATGCCCCGTGCGGTGCCTGCAGCCCCCCCGCCCTGCACTGCAACCCCCGTACCTCTCTCACTTCCAGGTGCACCGTGCCCTGCCGCCCTGGCTCCGAGCCCTGGATGTAGAACTTGACACGCATGTGCTTGAGGCCATTCTTCATGTACTCCACAAAGCTGCGAGAAAAGGGGCCACGGAAATGGCAGCTCCTTTCCCTGAAGCCCACCCCACACTCCCCCACCCGGCGCAGCGGGGGTACCTGACGTGCTGCCTGCGCCCGTGCCTCGTCATCTCCCCGTAGCCTTTCAGGGGCTCCCCGAACACGCTGACCACCTGCAGGGGGAGACCAGGCGCACTCAGGAAGGTGCTTACCGTTGGAAGCTTCCAGACACCTGCCAACTGGCCCACTAGGACAGAGCCGGGGAGCCGGGGACCTTCCCAAATGATAGCGCCAACGAGGAGAAAATGGGAGACGAACTGCCACAACAAGAATTCCTCCGTACCGGGACACGGATGGAGGTGAGTCCCTGAAGTGCAGCAGGAGGCCAAGATGCCCCCGAACCGTGTGTTCGTGCAGGATGAGGAACCTGACTACCCTCAGTCTAACAGGCAAGACCACGACCCGAGTGACCTCTGAAGGCGGTGTTTCTCGGCCTGTCCACCCCCCAACAGTTCCTTCCTGCTGCACCCGGTCCCGGTGTGATGTTCACCTGTTTAAGTCACTGCACACAGTGAAACCCACACACTGATCGGCCAGTTTCTCCCAACACACAGGGGTGAAACGAAAATTTGCAAAACAGAACACTCCTATGAAGTGATGAATACGGCCTCAGTTCTACCCTCCTCAGTCTGTCCCTGTGCCTGGCACCTGAGACTTGGTGAGAGTTCTGAGACCCTCCCAGAGGGCCTTTGTGTGGGGTGGGGACGGGAGGCATTTCCAAGTCACTTCCTTCTGCTGCTTCATTAGCGCCACCACCCTGGGCTTTCTATTCTGTTCTCCAACCTGGCCTGGTGCCCGAAAGGAACGGTCTAGACCCAAGGCTGACGCGAGGGAGCTGGAAAAAGTCCTGAGCCCCCAGAGCTTTCTGGGGCGGGGGCGCCCCCGCCTCTCTCTGAAAAGTAGCTCAGTGGAACTCAGTTGTCTGCCCGCTGCCCTGGATTTCTTCTCTGTCAGAGGCTGGCAGGCGTCTGTGTCTCTCTCGTCAGTACTGTGCTTCTGGTGGGCTGTGACCAGCAGGCCCAATGACCATGTGGGGTGTTCCTCAGCCCTCCTGCGCTTCAGACCCGGAATGTGCCCCCCTTCCTTCCTCCTCGTGGCTCCTGCCCCCAGAGCGAAGCAGGGGAAACTGGGAGACAGAGAGAAGCCGGAGATGGTCTCCGCCTGGTCTCGTGGCTGACTGGGCTGGAGAGTCCCACGGGTTGGGAGGAGACCTGGGACAGCAGCTGGGACAACCACGCCCAAACGCCTGGGACTCAGCCGCACCCCGGCGGGACACCACCTGCCATTCGACTGCTAACGTGCGCAGGCCTTTCCTGGCCCAGGCCCCAGGTCAGTGTTAGGGTCGTGCTCCAGAATTGCAGACTGGAACTGGGACGGTTCTGGCCTCAGGCGGTGGCTCCCCACTGGGGCCCAGTTAAGGGATCTCATTAGGTGTCCATTCGTTCCCCCAAACAGGACAACAGTGACACCTCACACCCAGGGCTAGTAGGTACAGGAAAGACCAAGCTCTGAAACTCAACCCAGCTCGGCACACAGTGCTCTCCAGGGAGCCGCCGGCACTGGTGCTGTGTGATGAGGCCTAGTGTGCGCTCCCTAGACTCCATCACTGTGTGAATGTGGGGGGACTGTCACTAGCTGGAAGACTAGAAATGGTCCACACGTTCAGAGTTCTCTGCCACACCTGTACTGTCTGACAAGTAAAATGACTATCTTGTACAATTAGGATAAAATCAGCCCTAACAGAAATCAGCAAACCGGTGTACAGCTTTTCTGTCTCTTGTCGAAGCATCTCCATCACAGAATCTAAGAGCTAATCCCAACCCCACTGCTACGTGTTTCTTCTTACAACCACCCCACTCGGGTTGGAAGCGTGTGAATTCTGCCCACCGCCCCCGATATGTTCCCCCCACTCCCACCGTCAGCCCGTCTGGAACTAACCTCAGGATGTAATCTGCACCTGTCTAAGGCTTTGCCGTATATCTTATTAGGACTGGATGGAGAAAAAAGTTCCTTGAAAATCACATAAAACAAGCCACCTGAAAAACACAATCGCAGCAGGAAAAAAAAAAAGATCATCAGAACAACAGTGAAACAGTAAGTTCAAGGGAAATTCTGGGCATATCCTTGCTCTTTTCCCCACCTGTAATGCTGATTCCAATAAGCACCACTATCAGGTAGGTAAAATCTCTTCCTGCTTCTTTCACTGTGAAGAGAAAACCCCCGAGAGTTACAGGCAAGAAGCACAGGGCAGGATGCTTCAGCGCTGCTGGGAGGTGAGGCAAGGCAGCACCAGCCTCCCCCGAAAAGAAGCCCAGAGGAGTTCAGGGCCAGGGTCGGGCTGCAGGGCACAGCCACACTCATTAATACTTGACTTGCGTGACACTAACCCTGGCTGGAGTGATATGATAGCACAGCAGGAGGGAGTTTGCCTTGCACGCAGTCAGCCTGGCTGAGGCAGGTTCGATTCCTTCGCCCCTCTTGGAGAGCCTGGCAAGCTACCGAGAGTATCTCGCCCGCATGGCAAAGCCTGGCAAACTATCCGAGACGTATTCAATATGCCAAACACAGTAACAACAAGTCTCAAAAAATGGAGACGTTACTGGGCCCGCTCGAGCAGATCGATGAACAACGGGAGGACAGTGTTTGACAGTGACACTAACCCTGAGGATAAGGACTCAGGCCTCTTTGCTGTTCCAGTGTCCAATTCCTCTTTTTTTTGGGTCACACCCTGCGAAGCTCAGGGATCACTTCTAGCGGTGCTCAGGGGACCATATGGGATGCTGGGAATCGAACCCACGTGTGCAAGGCAAACGCCCTCCCCGCTGTGCTATTACTTTTTTTAAAAAAATGCTCTCTCCCAAGTACTGTTTGCAGCACATTTGCTCCTAAGTACTGTTTGCAGCACATTTCATCTTTTGACAGTGCGCGGTTGCCACTGTGACCTCTTTCCTCCCGAAAAGAATCAAGCGCTGAGCCGTGTGCGCCCTGCATCTCGGAGGAGTTCTTGCAAGAGCCGAGAAGAGAGACACAGGTCGCCGGGGACGTAGCGTGCGAGCAGGGATGCTCGAGAGACGCGGGCTGCACCGCCCAGCCGTGGGAGGGGGCCCAGCGCGCTCCGTGCACACGGGGGGGGGGGGGGCGCCCCGCATTTGGTCCCTCTGCCCCACAAGCGGGGCGCGTCTTTCCCAGCCCTGGCAGCGACATCCAAAGTCCGTCGCCAGCGCCCAGGTCGGGCCCGCGGCCCGCGATTCTAAACTGCTGCTAACGGTCCGAGCTGCCAGGCGCGGGGCGTGCGGCGCCCGCGACTTTCCCGGGCTCTTGGGGCGGGGGTCCCGGGCGGCCCCTTTACCTCTCTGCGCCGTGGGCACGGCGGGCTCCCCGCCCCGAGTCCCAGGCACGGGGACCTGCTTGCCGGGGTCCTGCTGGGCTCTCCGGGCGCCCGGCCCCGGCGTCCAGAGGGTCCTCCGGGGGGCCGCGAGCAGCCCCCGGGGCCTCGGCGCTTCCCTGGGGCCCGGCAGCCCCCAGCGGCGGCCGGGCTCGGCGCTCAGGCCGGCTCTGCCCAGCACGAGCGGGGGCCGGAGCAGGCGCCCGCCCGAGCACCGGTGCAGCTGCTCGGCGCGCTCGGCCGCCCGCAGGAAGGCGCAGATCATGGTCCCGGGCTCGGCGGGCGGGCGACCCTGCCCGCCCCACCCCCAAGGGCGCGGGCTCCGGCCACTCCGCGGGGCGAGCGCGGCCAAGACGCTAGCTCGGATTCAACCGGAACAAAAAAAGCAAGAAAAAGCGCTGCTGTCCGGCCGGTTACAGCGCTCCGACGACGGGGTCCCCAGCGGACGCTCTGCCCGCCGCGGCTCTGCAACGAGACCTGCGAGGCGCGGCGGGATGCCGGGAAGGGTAGTTCGAGGGCTTCGGCCGGACGGGGCCGCCGCGGCGGGCGCCAGGGGCGAGGACTACAACTCCCACAGTGCAACGCGGCCCGCCCGCCCGGCGCTTCCCAGGCGCCCCCGCGCGGAAGGCCTGCGCAGGCGCACCCTCCATGGCGCGCCGGGCGCCGCTGGCCCGAGCGAAATGACACGTCCCCGAGCGCGCGTCCTCGCGAGGACCGCGTGAGCTGGGAAGTCGCCGCGGCCCGGTGCCCCCGGGGCCGCCCAGACGGGGCCACCGCGGGGAAGCGCCTCCACGCACCGCCCCACGGCCCGACTGGCCGACCCGGGGGAAGCCGGGCCCGGGCACTTCCGGGGCCGCCCCTGGAGGCGGGGCGGAGCGGAGCGGCGCCGCCCCCCGGCCGCGCCCAGTGCGCACGCGCGGCGGCCCGTGGGGCGTGGCCTGGCCGGCGCGGCCCCGCCTCTCGCCGCCGGGTCTCCATGGCGACCGGACGCGGCCGGCTCCTGCAGCTGCACTGGCGCGGCCTCCTGGCCCAGAGCGACCCCGCGGGCGGCGCGGAGGCCGGCGGGCTCAGGTGACTGTCGGGGAGCCCGGACCCCGGCCCCCCCCTCCCCGCCCGCCCGCCCGAGGGGCCGCGCGCGGGGACGTTCTGGCGGCGGCGGGGGGCGGGGCGCGGGCGGCCGTCACGTGGGGAGGGTCGGAGGCGGCCGGGAGGCGCGCGCGCTCGCTCGCTCGCCCGCTCGCGTCTCTCACGCTCGCGCACACGCGCGCTGACACGCTCAGCCTCACGCTCACCCTCACAGTCTGACACAGCCTCGCACGCTCACACTCAGGCTCGCGCTCTCACACGGACACGCTCAGTCACACGCTGACACACTGACACTCTGTCACACTGTCACACTCAGTCTCACACGCTCACACTCACACACACTGACACACTCAGTCTCACACATGCTCACACTCTCACTCTGACACACAGTCTCACACCCACACACTCACACATGCTCACACTGTCACACTCAGTCTCACACTCTCACACTCAGTCTCACACTCTCACACACACACACACTGACACAGTCTCACGCTCACCCTCACTCACATTCTGACACAGCCTCGCACGCTCACACTCAGGCTCGCGCTCTCACGGACACGCTCAGTCACACGCTGACACACTGACACTGTCACAGTCTCACACGCTCACACACACTCTGACACGCTCAGTCTCACACTGACACTGTCATACTCTGACACACTCAGTCTCACACATGCTCACACTCACACACACTGACACAGTCTCACGCTCACCCTCACTCACATTCTGACACAGCCTCGCACGCTCACACTCAGGCTCACGCTCTCACACGGACACGCTCAGTCACGCTGACACACTGACACTCTGTCACACTGTCACACTCAGTCTCACACGCTCACACACACTCTGACACACTCAGTCTCACACATGCTCACATTCACACACACTGACACACTCAGTCTCACACATGCTCACACTCTCACTCTGAGACAGTCTCACACCCACACATTCACACATGCTAACACTGTCACACTCAGTCTCACTCGCTCACACTCACACACACTGACACACTCAGTCTCACACATGCTCACACTCTCACTCTGACACACAGTCTCACACCCACACACTCACACATGCTCACACTGACACGCTCACACTGACAGTCTCGTTCTCACACACTCACTCACACTCCCACTTAATACACTCATACTCCCGTTCTCACTGACACTTTCACACTCACGCTCACATGCGTGCCCTTTCACACACTCACACTTCATACCCACTCTCATAATCTGTCACATTCTCACTGACACTCACACTCTCAGTCTCACACTCACACTGACACACACACTTCATACTCACACATTCTCACACGCTCACACTCATACACACACAACTCTCACTGACTCTCACACTCTCACACTCACACTCTCACTCTCAGACTCTTTCTCTCTCTTTCCCCTCCCAGCCCCGCGGGGGTGGGGTGGGACCCCCGTCTTGACACTGGCTTTCCAGGGAAATGCTTTGCCGCCTTGGTGGCTCTAGCCGGGTCCCTGGTCCCAGGCCCCACCTGGAGGACGAGGCGCAGCCAGGAGGCCCAGTGCTCAGGCACAGCGCAGCTGTCGTGGGACCCACCCAACTTCGCTTTCTCTGGTTTTGATCACCCGGAGAAGCTCGTGGAAACGTGCTCCCCTCTGCCGCCCCGGCCAGAGGACTCCCCTCCCATGCCCAGGCATCCCGTGCAGCGCGGCCAAGCACTCCACGTGCCCTGGGCTGGCGTGGAAAGAGGCAGCACCCCCCACTCGGCCCCTTGGGAGACCAGTGGTTAGTCTGGGGGCTTCTCCTGGGTTTGTGAGCGAGTCCTAGAGGGAGGCCCCGCGGTGGTCGCCTCCTGCGGTACCCGGACCCCCACGGTGACTCACCTCATTCTGCTGCTTGTCCTGCTGTTCCGCCTCAGTTCTGAGGACCCGGGGCGTCTGGGGCCTCTTGCCTGAGTCTCCCCCTCCCGGGTTGCTCATCCCTCTAAACTGGAGGAGGGGCCTCCTCTGTGAGTCCAGGCTCCAGCCGTGTGCCCTTCATTGCAGCGGCTTTGGCGTTAGAACAGTCGTCTTGCTTGTAACTCTTGGATTTCTAGATCTAAAAAGACACACACAAATGATGTTCATTATTTATTTGGCGTTTGGGCTTATTTATTTATTTGCCTTACTCCTGGCTCTGTGCTCACAGATCACTCCTGGCAGGTTGGGGGGGTCATACGTGGTGCCAGGATTGAACCCGCAGGTCAGCCGCATGCAAGGCAAGCACCCCACCCGCTGTACTATCGCTCCAGCACATGCACAGTGTGTTTAAGCATCAGAAAACAGTGCAGTCACCAGCTGAGCGACCTAGAATTACCTCCTCTTTTCCTGGCTCTCCAAGATTCTCTCCCATGCTCTTTACCCAGCTCCATGTCCTTACTTACCCTGGCGTTACTCCTGTGGCCAAAGATGGTGCTTGATGGAACAGCAGTGATGCTAGACATATCGCAGCCTTGTGACAAATAAAATGGTGGAGATGCCTACAGAAATTTTATTATGGAGGAGAAAAAGGCTGGAATTTTGATGGGAAGGTTGAACTTCAAAACAATTTGCCCTCTTCCTAAAATTAGTTTTTATATATAGTGCTCAGTTCCTTGGCAGCCAGGAGATTTTTTTTACGATGAATTTTTCATTACTTGGGAAGTTGTGAGAACTTTCTGGTGAAATGATGTGATTAGAATGTCACGCCTGGCGTAGCGGCCCACCCCTCCACCTGTGATTTGGCGATGCATCGTTTCTGTCGGGTGGAGCAGCGTGAGCTCTCAGAATGATTGATCAGAGTGAAGGCAGGCGGTTATTTTTAGTGCCTGAGTGTAGAAGGATTCGACCTTAATAAGGAATTTGTGGTTCCTTTTCTGGAAAGATCAGAGCCATACCCAGCTTTGTGGGGCTGAACAGGGAGCGGGCACTCTTGGCCATGCTCAGGCGGCGTGGGGGCCTTGTAGCTCAGGTCCGGGGCCTGCATCCCCAGGGGCTCGAAGCTTCATCCAGCAGTGCCAACCGGGCCTTGCTGGGATCCAACTCCTTGTCTCCAACTCTTTGCTCTGTATTCGCAGTACCCTCGAGTTCCCTTTTCCACACAGCATGTGAACACACAGAGATACTATAAACTGTAAGAAGAGCAGAACACAAAGCTAGTGGGCTTCATTTCTCCTTATTCTAGTTTCTCTTACTAGGTATTAAAAATCCAACTCAGAAAGTGTGTTTTAAAGTATCAAACTTCCTCAGAGCTGTTAGGTAGTCACTTGGGGAAAGGTGGTTTCCGGGCTGGAGAGAGTCCAGGGGCAGCGGGCTGAGCTGTGGCCTCCCGTAGCCCCCCTGCACCTGTGTCCTCCCTTTGTGAACTTACAGGCCACCGGAGGGCATGTGAGGGACTCGGGGTTGGCAGCCGGGGGGCCTGCCAACGCACAGCCAGGCTTGTCTCTCCGAGAAATGGAGCTGCCAGGCCGATCAGAGGCGGCAGTGTTGCTCTGCAGACTGCCAGTAGTTCCCGCTGGGAAGCAATTCACAGAGACATTTAGGAATGAGACCGTTCAAAATGAAGCAGGATTTGAGCCTGGAGAGGCAGCATCAGGCTTCTGAACGCTGGACTGGCCTTCCTGAATTCCGTATTGTTCCGGGCTGTTTGTGCAGGTGGCTTCCAGGCATGGACAGAGGTGTGGGAGTAGTGCTGAGATGGGAAGGGGCATCTAGTCTCAGGAGGGGAGGGGCAGGGTCTCCAGCCCATTGCCAGCCCTCTCTTACTCTGCCTGTCAAACGTTGTGCTTGTGGGGCTGGCACAAGAGCGGGAGCTTCTCGAGATGTTCCCTCTTACGCGTGCTGCTGCAGGCAGGAAGGCAGCCGTGCTCCCCAGCAGCCACGGCTGGGCTGGGTCTGTGCAGGGACAGGCAGGAAGGCAGCTGTGCCCCCCCCACCCCCCCAGCAGTCACGACTGGGCTAGGTCCGTGCATGGCATCGTCACAGTAGAACTGTTGGTTAGGTGATGATGAGCATGTATGCGTGTGTGCTTGCATCCACGTGTACGCAGAAATGCAGGCATGTATGTGCACACGATCTCTATGATGGCATACTTGGATGTGGAAGAATGGTATGTATGCACCTGTGAGACTGTGTTTAGGCTGGTTTCAAGCCTCTGCACCCACTGGCCCAGCACTTTTCCCACAGGGCCAGCCCTAAGGGACAGCAGAGGGAGCCCCAAGGGACAGTGGGGGAAGCACCAAGGGACAGTGGAGGGAGCATCAAGGAACACCAGGGAGAGCTCTGCCGGGTAGGGCGTTCTGCAAGGACAGAAGATGAGGTGTCTCAAAAGTTCTTGATTTCTGGCTTAGAACCTTGAACAGTCACTTGATTGACGCATTGGAGAGCCTTTGTCTCCTAAAGTGCGGTGGGAGACCCATGAAGTGGGGGGCACACTGTAACTGTAAGGAAAGTGAGGGTGAGAGAGGGTCTCGGTGTCCGTGAGGTGCAGGAGGCAGCTGTAGATCAGGGCAGTGGTTGGGGGCAATGTTAAAAATATTAGCTGGTACCATGATACATTTCTATAGTAAGATAAACATGAATTTTCAGTAGAAACATTTGCATTAACTTTGAAGATCAAATAGGAGACTTCAAACAGTTTTAGACTTTCTGTAGGCTGTGCCTCCAGAAACCTATGAGTGACTTTGAGAGTCACAGAGGAATATGCCACGAGAATATTCTCTAACCCATACAAAGGAGCAGAAGGAACAAGTTTCGAAGTGAAACAGAAGCCCGCAGTTCGTTACATAGCACTTTAAAGAGTGACCTGGGTGAGTGTGGTCCCGGCCCTGCCTGCCTCTTGGCCTCCCGTGAAAACAACCGCCGAGTAAAATGCTTGGAATCCAGTGAACCGGATGACAAGGGGCTCGCATCTTCTCTTTCCTTCCAGGCCACTTCTCTGTATGTGTTCACTTACCTCTCAAGAGAGAACTGCAGAGAGAAGATCAAGTTGTTTGACTGGATGGCAATAGCTCATCCAATGCCTTTTACTCATGAGTGGATGTTCACTGAATATCTTCTGGTGTGAATCTAAGTCCTGCAAGTTACATTATATTCTGGGATGTGAGGATGCAGGGCAGAGCCGTGAGCCGTGGAGTATGGGGAGAGAAAGCAAGAGGACAGTGAGAGACACAGCGTGTTCCTGTATGTGTGTGTGTGTGTGTGTGTGTGTGTGTGTGTGTGTTGTATGTGTTGGAGTTTTTGAGTGTGCACCTGTATAAGCATGATTGGAGTTTGAGAGTGTGTGACCCAGGCAGTCATATACATCTGCATGAGTGTCTGAGGATGAGTCACGTGATTTGGGAAGCCCCTCGAACTATCTTCAGCGCTTTTCCTGGTGTTGAAACTTCGTTTTCTGGCTGAACGTTGCTAACTGCCCTTACAGTTCAGCCAGTCCCTTACAGTCCCAGATTTTCCCCTGTGCGATGACTGTGAGCCGGTGCTGCTCAGTGACAAGTGGGAACATAGTTTTGGCTTTTTTTTTTTTTTTGCCTTAGGATGATTTGTAGAAGTGGCTTGGGAAGAGGACTGTGGCTGTGGGGGAGCTTGGTCTACATTGTACATCTGCCTTCCTGTCACATCTGTGGTAGACGAGCTGGTTTTCGCCAACCCAGAGGGTTCAGACACGTTGAGACTGAGTCTTACTTTAGTTTTCTTCATTTCTCTTGGAAATGCCTTGGGTAATAGTTTATTTGAGTTTTTGGCATCTTCTGGTGAGGACACTCTGAGTGACAGAAAGCTGTTCTGGTGGTTTGGGAATGCTGGTAAGGCCTCTCTGCCTGACTAACCCTACGGCGTTCATTTGTGTCATAGGAGCAGTGTCTGTCAGAGCCAACCCTTGGCCTCCGGGTGATGTGCATGTGTGGACAGGCTCACACGACCTTCATTCACTGGCTTTCCGTGCAGGGGCCGGCAATTCCCCATAGATCTCAGCACTGTTAGATGGGACAGAGATTCTCTGTCTCACAGCCCAAGTGCTGGAAACCCTGGTAGTTTGAAGATACTCTGTCTGAATGCACGAGGCAAAGCATTCAGATACAGATATGGGGGTTCTAGCAGGGGCACGCAGCTACTCGTATACCCTCAACCAAAGACCAGTCCGTCTCTATTCGGGGAAGGCTGTCCTCTTGGATTGAGCATGCAGCTTCGGGAGGGATGCACACGGAACGGCGAGGGAGGAACGGGACACCCACTTAGCCAGCCAGATCAGCCGAATCAACCCTGGCGATCAATGGGGTGACAGATGTCGCAGCCAGCTCGCCCTCACATCCTGGTAGGAGTGACTTTAGACACAGTGAGCAGAGGTCCTTCATTGGCACCGGATGGAGCATGGACATTTACTGCCACTCTCATCAGCTCTGACATGACTGCTGCTGAGGGGGAGTAGCCAGCAGTATGTGTGCCTTTAAGGAACCCTGCTTCCAGATCCTTCCATGGGCCAGCACGGCCCCCAGGTCGGGGCTGTCTGGGGCTTGAGGGTCCTGCCCAGCTGCTGCCCAGGATTGCTGGTCTGAGATTTTAGAAACTTGTATCATAGGTGGGTGCTCTGGTCCCTCTTACTGAACCGAGAGCCTCTGAGTGTTGGGGTCACTTATGTACCAGTAAATCCCAAGGAGAGCTGGTTAAAATCTGTGACTCACGGGAGGATGTGAGCATCTCGGCATCCCCAGCTTAGAGTGAGGACTCAGGGCGCTGGACCTCATGAGGCTTCACCCTGCTCTGAGGCTCTGCCCAGAAGGATGGAGGCATCCTTCCCTCCCACTCACTCTCTGGACCTCCCTCCTGCTCACTCCCCTGTGTCTCTTCCTCTCTTCTTACTCCCCTGCTTACTCTCCTGTGTTGTCTCCCTCCTTCCTCACTCCTGCATTTCCTTACTCACTTCCCCTGCATCTCTCCCTCCCTCCTCCCCCCTCGAATTTCTACCCCCGCCTCACTCTCCCTGCACCTTTTTCTCCCTCCTTACCTCCCCTTCTGCATCTCTCCCTCTTCTCACTACCTTTTCTGCCCTCCCTCCTTCCTTAACCTTCCTAAGCCTTCCATCCTTCTTCAGTCCCCCTCTCCCTTCAGCCTCCACTCCCCTGCCTCTCACCCTCCTTCCTCACCATCCCCTCTGTATCCTTCCATTCCTCCCTTCTCCCTTCACCCTTTCCTGAAGCTGAAGCGTTTCATTAAGTACTGTTTGGAGTCAGCAAATCCTTGGAAATAGAGCAGGAGGGGACGGACAGTTCCCCTGCCATTGTAATTGGAGTATTCTGTGTTTGCTTTTAGAAAGGGGGCAGGTACCAAGTTCCCTGCAGGCTGCACCCACCAGAAGCCGCGTGCCAGCTCCCGACAGCAGAGGAAGGGGCCCTGTGACTCTTGGGTGTCACTGGACAGGTAAGAGGCTGGACAGTGCCACTGTTCGATGGGCCCTGGGGATGGGTTGCTGGAGAAGGTCATGCTATAGAAGGCAGGCTGCTGTTCTGCGCCGTAAGAATAGAATCGTGTAGGAACGATTCAACTTGGAGGTTGAAATGAGTCATCAACCTGTCACCACTGTCGCCTTAGACGATTTCACGAAGCTCAACTTCCAGAAGTGACAAGTAAATCTGATTTTTTCCTTTAAAAAAGGTTCTTAAAATTACTCACTTTCTAGTTGATGCAGACCCTCGGATGAGGATGGAGGGGAGTGAGCGTGGGAGGTCTCGGATTCCGGAACTGCCACCCTTTGGGGAGCTGTTTTGCTGGACTGATGCTCTGGGCCTGGGCCCCCGGAGCCTGTGAAATCTTTGTCTGTGCTTATTTGAGGTGCTTGTGCATTTGTTCTGAGCCAGTGTGTAAGGAGCGCCACTCGCTGCGTGCTGAGCATTGTGTGCCGCCTTGAAAGGAGCATTCTATGGACATCTCCCAGGGCGTGGGCCAGGGAGGGTCGGTTTAGGAGGTGTCCTTTGGAACCTTCCGGAAGCCCAGGCAGCAGCAGAAGAGGAGGCTGCAGTGGGGCCTGGGCCCAGGGGCTTCATGGAACAGGAGGGGAAGGTCTGAATTACGAGTGCAGAATGGTGAGAGGGTTCAGGAAGGACCTGTCACACGGGTTCCCGTGCTGCTGAAGATGCGTGTGTGCACATACCCACTCATACACACACACACACACACTCACACAGAGGCACACTCTCACACTCACACACATAGGCATACTCTTACACACATATACACTCACACACATGCTCACACAGATAGAGGCTTACTCATATATACACGTATACACACACGCTCACACACACTTACACATACACATACATACACTCACACACACACGCACATCACATACTCATACACATGCTCACACACATACACACACTCACACATTGCATATACACTTACATGCACTCACACACATACACATACACACTCACACACATATACACACTCACATCACATACTCATATACACACATACATACACTCACACATTACACATACACTTACACACGCTCACACACACGTACTCACACAGTCACACACACTCATACTCACACGCCCACACATACACTTGCACGTGCCTACCCATGCGGCTCATGTGCCTGCTTCAGTCTTTGCAGGGAAGCTAGTGATGTAAGGCCCCTGTGTCTGTCTGTCCTTTCTCTCCAGTCCTCCAGTACGCCCAGCCCACCAGTGCAGTGAGGGGCCCATCAGGAAGCACCTTGGCAACAGTGATCATGAAAGCGCCTTTTTGATCTCAGATGACTTAATTGTAATGCGGATTTTTTCTTTTAGAAGAACAGAGAGAAGCCTCACCCCTTTTTCTGTTGTATGGTTGGAGTCTAATGATAATCTTGATGGGATTTTATTCTGATGAAATTCATGGTTGCTGGATAGCTTTCTCAATTTTTTGAAGCTCGACTCAATATATATATATATAAAGTAAAGTAAAGGCCCTCCCGTTGATCATCGATTCGCTCGAGCGGGCCCAGTAACGTCTCCATTGGAGACTTTGTTGTTACTGTGTCTGGCATATCGAATACTCTCGGTAGCTTGCCGGACTCTCCGAGAGGGGCGGAGGAATCGAACTCGGGTTGGCCATGTTGGCTGCGTGCAAGGCAGACGCCCTACCTGCTGTGCTATCGCTCCACCCTATATATATATGCATATATATGCATATATATATATATATATATATGCAGGGGGCTCAGAGCTTACTCCTGGTTTTGTGCTCAGAGATCACTCTTGGCAGGGCTTGGGGGACCATATGGGGTGCCAGGGATTGAGCCCAGGTCAGCTGTGTGCAAGGCAAGTGCCCTGCCCGATTGCTTGCTCGATGTTTCCTTGAACCTATATTTAAAAAATTGGGTGGGGGGGAAGGCCACACCCAACAGTGTTCAGGGCATACTCCTGGCAGGGCTTGGGGAACCATATGTGGTGCCAGGAACGGAACCCGGGTCGGCCACGTGCTCAGCAAAGGCCCTCCCCGCTGTATTTTGCTCGAGCCCCTAGGCTCTGTATTTTGGAACTACACTGAAGTTTCAAAAATACATTTTGGTGAAATAGTTAAATATAAAAAACTAAACTACATTCTGTGGCTAACCCCAAAGGTTTCCTGCACCTTTGCTCTCTCTAGACTCATGACCTTTTCTTATTAAAGCATCTCATTTATTGGCCGTTGCCTTGGATGTTGGGACTGAGTCTTCCTCTCTGAGCTTTGGGGCAGGGGCGCGCTTCCATAGAGAATGTGTCCCGTAATCCCCTCTCTCCTTGGGCCCGACTGCTGGGACAGGTGATCTGTAAGGCACATCTGGGGAACTGGTTTGTGTGTTCAGTAGCTGAAATCAGAAGGTGCGAACTCGGGCAAGTGGTTGAAATGGCTTTGTCCCTCGTCCTTTGTCCCTAGACGCTGCTGTCCCCACAGTCAGTTCTGTGGCTTCCACTGGTGATGCTCCATTGGTCTGGGGCTGCTGTCTGTGCCGTGTCAGAATGGGGCCCGAGGGACGGAGGGTGCAGTGGGAAAGACAGAGATGGGAGAAACCTTCATGTGCCCTTGAGGTCTCCGGCAAGGCGTCACAGGAGAGGACGTGACAGGAGCCGAGGGGAGGGCGGGAAAGTGGGGCTGGGCAGTGGCTCTCCTGTGTGATGGCTGTGCAGGGCCCAGCAGGCCTTCCCGCTGCCTCCTCTCCATCATTCACCGCACAGCACTGCTTGGCTGAGGGAGGCGGCTGGTTCCTGCCGTGGAACACGTGCTCCTGTGCCGGCCGTGTGTCACCTGCTCACTGGCCGGAGGCCTGTGAGCCCAGAGGGTACAGTGGGGGAGAGTGTGGTGGCTGCTCACCTGCAGGCAGGACCCAGGGCGGGGGTGATGTGTGGGGGGCACCGCCTGCTCTTCTGACGTCTCCCCCTTTCAGTCTGCCTTCAGAAATCTTGCTGCAGATACTTTCGTACCTGGATGCCGTCACGCTGCTGGCCGCCGGGTGTGTCAACAGGCGCTTCTACCACCTGGCCAGTGACAAGTAAGAGAAAGCCGCGTCTCTGCTCTGTTTGGGTGATGTTCCGTGAAAGTTGTGAAGCGAGTGAGGCTGCTTGAACCATTGTTTTTAACGTAATGTAATTAATTGCAAGAGTATTCTTAGACATAGATAAAAATAATTTGTCTAATGTCGGGTGACATTTTCAAGGATTTGCATTTGTGTGCTTAAAATAAGGACTGTTCTCTGGGTGTGCTGAGAACCATCCACCCTGTTACGGGCTGCTCTGAGGGGAGGCGGCTGGTGCCATGTCCCCAGAGCAGACTCTCCCTTCCCATGTCTCACCGTGCCGGGCCCTTGAGCTGACTCTGAGGAAAGGGGCTGCTCCTCCTCCCAGACCCACTCTGCACTGTGAGGAACGACGGAGCTTCTGTGTGCCACCGGGCTCTCAGCCTGCAGCCCTGAGCCACCTGGGCCGAGGGGCTGGTGTCCACCAAGGCCTGCTGATGGTTCCGCTCTGAGACACGGCTTCTCCGCCCTGGCGCTCAGGTGCGGGAGAAGCCTCAGCCGAGAGGGGCGCAGATGCTTGTGGTTCTTTGGTAGGGCGGAGGAAGAAGAGAGACAGAGTGGGGACTCCGAGAGTGCTTACCCATTGCGGCTGATTCTTAGGCCAGTCCGGGCAGACTGCACTGGAGGCTGCCAGGGTTGGGGGCCATGTGGCTCCTTCCCTGCTTTTCTTTCTCCTGAAACTGTGTTCCGGAGCTGTCCCCAGGTCCCAGTGACATCCGCACTCCTCCCGGGAAGAGTGGTATCTCTTCCCTCCTGGGGACAGAAGGCCTGCCTCCATCCCCACACACTTGTCCCAGCGGGTGATTTTGACTGTCGTTCTGGAGTGAAGATCGTGTTTGCGCGCCTATCTGGCCCTTGCTGAGAGAGGAAGGCGTTCACTGGAGCCAAGTCCACAGTGGACTTTTCCGGGGCATGGGATCCGTGAGGTGCACGCTGGAGGGCCCTTCCTTCAAGGAGGTTCCCTACAGACTGGTGTGCAGGTCCTGGGCATCTCCGCTGGGGATAGCACTCTCCTGTGAGCTTGAGCCGTATCAGAAACATGATGAAACTCATGGGAAGGTTTCCAGAGAGGGAGATGCATAGTGAAATGCCAGCCCAGTGTTTCCTATGGCCTCTGAGGGGAGGACAGTTGGACAGCGGTTGACAGCGACATCTGTGATATCTTGGGGAGGAGTGTTGGAGGGTCTCTTGGTCCCCACTACATCTGGGGCTGCCTCCTCCATGCCCTGCCAACTGCAGCCTCAGGGGGGCACTAGCTTGGGCTGGTCTGGGTCCTCACCGGGGTCGCTGCCCGGCCACGCTGGGAGCAGTCTCATCCAGCCCTCAGCATGGCCCCTGGGCCTGAGGCTTTGCCTTGCCGACAGCTTCAGAGCTCTAACAGTGCTGCTGATCTGACGGCACGACGGGACCAGGAAACCAGTGTTTGGGTTCTGCCAGAGCTTTTGGAGATGGTGAGAAACAGCCCTAATCTTGGCATTTGTGTTTATGAGTAAGTGTGTCTATAAATAAGATTATACGTTGCACTGTTCTGATACTGGAACGTTAGACTTTTATTCTCTGGAGGCTGCATTTGCAGTCCGTTCTGTGCGGTCCTTCATGTGAAGCTGCTCCATGCTCCATACACCAGGGGCAGTGAGCGCCCGCAGCCCTCCCGTGGCGAGGTGGGTGTGCCACTGAGCCTGTGGCAGCTGCCTGGCCTGATGAGAGCAAAAGAAGAGGACGGGGAGTGGGGCCGAGGTGAGCATGGCAGACGGGAAATGCCTTCACGCTGGGACTCCCAGTCATCTGGATGTTCTCCCAGCTTCTGCTGAGGCACAGGCCTGAGCACCAAGGCCCGGGGCTCGGAGTACCAGGACTGCAGGCCCCACCAGAAGAGGCGTCTCCTGTACCTCCCAGTGAGAGCAGGGGTGCCAGCTGGCTGAGCAGGGTGCCCCTGCAGCCTGGCAGCCACTTCTCAGTGGCCTGACAGGCCCTGGAGGCAGAGGCTGTCCTCAGAGGGGGCTGCTGATGTTGGTATGCACATCCTCGTCCCACCTCTGCTCCCCTGAGCAGCCCTGGGCAGTGGGGCACCTTGATCCTGGGCCTCAGTTTCCCAGTCTCCTCAAGGGGTTGAAGAGCAGCTGTTTCCTGGGTCTCTTGTGGGGTCAGTGCGTGAAGCGCTGAGAAATGCCTACAGCTCAGTCTCCACTTGGCAGCCGTGGTCTTAGGAGTCTGGATGTTCCCCCATTTTTTCCTGCTCATCATGCAATGATAAGCAGTTCCTTCTTTGTGCAGGCAATACTTTTCATTGTTGAAAGACCAAGGCATGAAGTTTAAAGAACACTTGATCCTTACTGAGTTGTTCACATTGTGTGTATTTTCTTTCTGATCATTAAAAAAAAAAAGAGAAAAACGTGTATATTTAAAGGCATGAGATAGAAGCCCGCAGGTACACATTGTGCTGCTTTTCTAAAAGTCTCCTCGGCAGGCATGGGAAGGTTGGCAATGGTCCCGCCGGCCCAGGTGGCTCATGGGGACTCGGCCCCTGACCAGCTTCTCCAACTTCTGCATGTGACTTGGAGTTGGAGATTTTATTTTGTTTCATTTCTTTCTTTTGTTTTTTTTTGGCCACCTTGGTGATGCTCAGGGCTTACTCCTGGCTCTGTACTCAGGGATCACTCCTAGTGGGGCTTGTGGTACTATTTGGGTTACCAGAGATTGAACCTGGGTCAGCTGCACACAAGGCAAGTGCCCTCCCCCCTGTGCTGTCTCTCTGGCCCGAGGGTTGATGGCTTGAGAACACTCCACTCAGACTGCAACTCCCCAGAACATGGGAGCAGCTGCAGATGTTCATCGTGACTTACTCCTGGAATTGGACAATTCCAACATTCACTTGCCTCTCTGACTTCGCTGGGCTCCTCCTTCGTGTTCGCACCCATGCCTCCCAGGCAGTTCACCTCATTCCTCTCTCCCACCAGCTTTATTTGGGCAAAAATCTACTCCGTGGCCTTTGCCCCTAAGAAATCTCACTGGAGAGGGAGTTCCGTGGAGACGATGACCGAGTGTGTGCACTCGCTGTCCGTGGAGGCCAGAGAAGCGGGCTACTGGAAGAAGGAATACATCAGCAAGCAGATTGCATCTGTGAAGGCGGCGCTGGCTCAGATCCTCAAGCCTGTCAACCCCTACACAGGCCTCCCAGCCAAAACCAAGGAGGCCCTCAGGTACGTGGGCGAGGGCTCCGGGTTCTGAGTGCCTTCGTGTCATTTCCAGTGAGGGGGTACTGTCTGTCTCGTTGTGTGTTTCTCTGCTCGATGTGGCCTGAGGTTTCTGTGCAAAGCAGAAATCACCACGTACTCTGTCTTATCGAAGAAGGTGCTTCAAGGCCCCTCTTCTGGGAGGCGGAAGCTTTATCTGGGTACTGCCAGTTCAGAACATTCGAGATGTTTTTTTGGTATTCATGAGGTCAGAAGGAAAAATGAATCCAAGGAGAGAACTGTTGGTGAGATGAAAATTTTTGCATTCTTTTAGTTTTTAAGGTGCTAGGTGCTTTACAGGTGATACCTGCTACAATAGATTCAACTCTTCTTCAACTACGAAGCAGATCTTTTAGCCCGGTTTTCTTTCTCCAGAATATCTGGTTTAGGTTGGGTGATTATACTGAGAGAAACATGCGGGAAGGAGCATGTCCTGGACCACGCTGATCTTTCCATAAACGAGTCCTCAGTCACAGTCATGTGGTACGGCAAGTATTGGCCACAGCGAGCCACGCTGGCCACCTTAGACTTGTGTGGTGTGACCCCAGTTTTTATGGACCGCTCCCAACCTCCCCCCAAGGCTGGGTAAGTACTTGTTCAGCAGAACTCTGGGATGGGAACATCTCAGCTGTAAACATAAAGTAGGTGGTGTTGCATCTGAGAAACGGAAGAGCTCTGCCGCATTGATCACCCACCGCTCAACGCCCTTGTCTTGGACCTGAGGTTCCAGGAATGACAACACATTGACCATCAGGGACCATCCGAGTGCTGGCTGTTGATCTGAGAGTCAGGGTGACTAACAGGATTGAGTGGTGTTTTCTAATGCTTCTGAGCTTTTCACTCCCAGACATAATTCTCACACAGAGTTCACGGTGTCTGGTTCATGAAAGTACTCATGATGCTGGTCCAATTTTATGGTGTAGTGTTACATTTCCCCTATCTCTGAGCTACCTGTAGGAGGACGTGAAAGGGAGCCGTGCTTTCTGACAGCCCTCCGGGGCCCTTGGTCAGTGAGAGCATTCCGACTGTGCGTTTGCATCAGCAGAGCGTCAGTTGGGAGGACAGTTTTGTTTGCACATGTACACCTGCAGTTCAGCTGACGGGTTGAGTCTGCTTTCCACCGGTCTTGTGTAGGATTTTGCAGTGCAGAAAATAGAATGTTCTTCCTTGTCATTGTGACTCTTCATTTAACATTGTCTGGGCTATTGGGCTGGAAGGAAGAAGGGGGGTGGGGGCCGATGCGATTGTCTCTGTGTTGTGTTTAATTTCTCCAACTTGTCCCCCACTTCCTCCTCATGCCACTCAGCTTGAGCACAGTGCTGGCGTGCTGTGGAAAGTGACCGAGATGCAGTCAGGAGAATTGAGAGCACTGGCTCGGAACTCACGCCTCCCTCTCTCTCCTCTCTTTGGCATGGATGGTCAAAGACCTCGCTGGCATTCTTTGATCGCCAAGTACAACCTGAGTCACTTGACTGAGTCCACCATGATCGGCTGTGACAGGCTCGTCAGGATCTTCTGCCTCCAGCCAGGCCTCCTGGTGGGGCTGTGGCAGGTGAGGCTGGGGTCCCCTCCTGTACGCGTCCCTCCTCACATCCAGCCACGTCAACAGTCCCTGGGTTCGCGGTGTCCCGTCCGTCACACTGCTCCTACCTGTGCTCTGCGGTAGCTCCGCCAAGCCTTCTCTCTGGCTGAGGCGTTGCTGCTTTGGCCACTGGCATCCTGTTCTAGGTCACATCATTCCTCTGTCCTTCCAGTCCATCCATGTTCCTCTCACGTCCTCTCCCTGCTGAGCCTTTCTTGCCGTGTTTATCCCAGGGTCCCTCCAAGGTGCTGTGGGGCGGCCTTTCCGACCATGAGAGGGAGGTTCTGGGGAAAAGTGTCAGAGTGTGATGCTTTTCCTCTGCCCATGACTAGAGCTTGTGTTTTCTCTGTTGTACATGATTAACACCCCTCCTCAGCTGCTGTGGCCTGTACGCCGGGCTGCTCCCTCGGTGTCTCACCTTGGGTGCCAGCACCAAGTCCTGAGGATTCTGCTGTCTGATGGTCCTTGTCTGGCGATAGGAAAGGGCTCCCCACATCTGCTGCACGAAGGACCCGGCTCTCATCATGCCTCCTGGGTGGACGGCCCGAGAGAGCCGTCATGCCACTGATTTACAGAATCAGTCTTGGATCCATGGAGGTCGGACGTGACTGTGTTACCGTTACCTTTGCAAAGGAATTTTAGCCCACCTGGTACCAGCAGGTGTTTTCCACCTTCATTTGACCTGAGCCAGCATTCTGCTGTCTCGGCTGTTCATCTTGGAGTCTGAGTCCTTCGCAGGTTTGCTCTGTGTACTTCAGTGGACAGTGGTCCTGCTGCCCGAGGGCCCCAGTAGCACATGAGCACTGCCACTGCAAGAGCACCATTGCGGCCATTGGGGGTGGTGACTAGCCTCATCCGTCTGTCTCTCTGTCAGGTGACTGGGCTGCCATCTTCCCAGTTACCTTGGGAAAATGAAAATATTGCAGCTGAAAATGTTCTGTTTCGAACTGTCTTTCAGAGGGATGAAGAGCTGGCCTTTGTTATGGCAAATCTCCATTTCCATCGCATTGTGGAGAGGAGTACCCTCGGCTCAGCCACTGTGTAGGTATTTGTTGTGGATGTGTGGGACTTTGACAGTTAATGGGACTTTGGAAGCTGACACCATCTTAGTATCCTGAGAATTGCTCGGAGCCATTCCATTGTTAATCAAAAGCATAAGGCAACAGGCCTGATTACTTAGCTGTTGCTACAATAATTAGCTTATTCTGTCTGCACTGTAGCACTGTACTCCTATTGTTCGTCAGTTTGCTCGAGCGGGCACCAGTAACGTTTCCACTGTGAGACTTGTTACAGTTTTTGGCATATTGAATACGCCACGGGGAGCTTGCCAGGCTCTGCCATGTGGGCGGGATACTCTCGGTAGCTTGCTGAGCTCTCCAGAGAGGAACGGAGGAATCGAACTCGGGTTTTCCGAGTGCAAGGCAAACGCCCTACCTGCTGTGCTTTCTCTCCAGCCCGATTAGCTTATTCATGAGCACATGTTTACTTTCTTTGTCCTGGGTGGGGGTGATTGTGTACTTGGTAGAATATAATTTAACGGATAGGGTGGCTTCTTCGCTAAAGACACACCAAGATGCTTCAGGTTCTGTGATGCGATTCTCAGCCCTCTGGTGGCCGAGTCTGCCTTGCAGGTGTGTTTTGCTGGCCTGCACCAGGCGTGGCTGGAGTGTCCGGAGGGAGAGAATTTGCCTCCAGCTCACATTCCCCCACCTGTACTCCATTTCTCAACATTTCACTTTCCAAATAAGCTGAGTGCTTGCATGCTCTTGTTATGGGGTGTGGGAAAGCTTTTGAATTACATTTTTTATGGGTGGTGGGGGGACACACTCAGTCATGTCAAGGCTTCCTCCTGGCTCTGCCCTCAGAAATTCTCCTGAACGGCGCTTGGAAGACCACCCGGGGTGCACCGGCTCGAACCTGGGTAGACTGCGTGCTCGGCAAGCACTCTCCCACAGTCCTATTCTCTGCCCAGGGAAGCTTTTCTTCGAGAATACAGTTTTGTTCATCATGACTTGGGCCTTGTGCATAGCTTTTTGACTGTGGCTCTGTCTGGTGCGTTTGGGTGAGGCAGTTCTGTTCCCTCGGTCCTGAGACCAGCAGATAGGTGGAGGCGGCCCACTGGTGTCCCAACGGGGCAGAGCTTTGGCTCATGTCCGTGGTCATCCGTGAGCAGCCACTAGTTTTGAGGGCCGCGGGGCGGCCGCCGGGTGCGGGTGTTTGCGGGCACGGTCTCTCGGGTCTCCACCTGTGCTGTGACGGTTCCCTGTGTGCGCTTTTGCTTCTCAGCCCTCACGAGGTGCCTCTGCACGTCCCCTTGGTAGACGACAGCCCCGAGTGTGGCCTGCAGGGCTACCAGCTCCACGTGGACATGCACAGCGGCGGGGTCTTCTCCCTGTGCGGGATGTTCCGCAATCTCTTCACCAGGAAAGGTGAGACCGAGTTTCCTGCTCCGTGGGCAGCGAGCAGGGTGAAGAGTGCGGGGGCCCGCTGCCTAGGTCTGCGCTGGGCTCCCGCCCGTGCTGGCCACTCGATCCTGCTCTCCTCTGTCCTCCGGACCTGTGGCTCTCTTCTGCCCCTGCCTCTGTCTCTCTCATCTCTCTGTTCTGCCTTCCAGAAGACTGGACCGCTTGCAGTGCTCACCCTTTCTTAGGGAGTGTTTCTCCCTTCTTCTTACCCTCCCACCCCTATTCCCCATCTTTCTTTCTTCCCTTTCGAAGGAATTTGCCAAACTTGGCTCCAGGGCCCAGGCCCCCCACCCAGGGTAGAGGAGAGGGCAACCCGTCCTTCCGTGGTCCAGCATCAGAGCTGCCCACGGCCCGGCCAGACTGGAGAGCGGCTCCATGTCTCCGTCCTGTGCTCTTGATGTGTGGTGCGAGGCTTGCTGGCTAGCCTTCCGTTCGTTCGGGGTAAGCACATCGCATGGGGGAAATGTACTCTGCTTCCCTGTTTCCTCAAACTCAGTTGGAGAATGAATTTGATATCCACAAATAATCTTTGTTTGAAGTTAGAAAATGGTAATTTTCTAATTATGTTGTTATTTCTATATTTGCTGACTTTTTTTTTTGGTAAAGAACTCTGTTGCAGTGCAAATGCTTTAATCTTTTCCCTTCTAACTACTAATTTTTGGTTTAAAAAAATAGATGTAATAGCCCCCTGCAGTGGTGGGAATGGTGCGGAGCCTGCTGCACCCCCAGTTCCCCTCCTCCCCCCATCTTGTTCAGCGGCAGTTTGTATTCTTGTGTTTCCACTTACTTGGCAGCACACAGTAAATTAACCACATTTCTCTCTCTTTTTTAAAAAATTTTTATTAGTGACAAACCAAGAGGTACAGCTGTAGACTTACAAATTTTTGTGCTTGGGTTTCAGTTATACAAGTACCCATCCCTTCACCAGTGCCCGTTTCCCACCACAACGGATCCCAGTATCCCTCCCACCTCCCATCCCCCCCATCCTACCCTGCCTCTGTGGCAGGGCATTCCCCCTTGTTCTCTCTCTCTCTCCTTTTGGGTTCTGTGGTTTGCAAGAGAGGCATTGAGTGGCAGACATGTTTGGTCTATAGTCTACTTTCAGCATGCTTCTACCATCCTGGGAGGATCCTCCCAACACCCTTTACTTGGTGCTCCCTTCTCTATCTGCTCCCTTCCCTTTTCCCGTAGCATGTGTGACTGGCCTCCAAGCCATGGAGCAAAATTCTGGTACTAATCTCGGCCACTCCTGGGTGTTAGTCTCCTATTTTGTTACTTTCTGTTCCCCAGATGAATGCAATCTTTCTATGTCTCTCCCTCTCTTTCTGACTCATTTCGCTTAGCGTGACACATTCCATGTAGTACCACTTGTAATAAATTTCATGACTTCATCTTTTCTAACAGATGCATAGTACTCCATTGTGTAGATGTACCAAAGTTTCTTTAACCAGCCATCTGTTCTTGGGCACTCGGGTTTTTTTCCAGATTTTGGCTATTGTGAATAGTGCAGCAATGAACATAGAAGTGCAGATGTCATTTCGACTGTACTTTTTTGCCTCTCCGAGATATATTCCCAGGAGGCCCACATTTCTCTTTCGAAGCTAAGATGGTGCCGTCTGGTCAGTGGGGCCGACTGGTCAATAGGGCCATCTGGTCAGTAGAGCCAACTGGTCAGTGGGGCCAACTGGTCAGTGGGGCCGACTGCAGTCTGGTCCTGTGCCCTTGGGGTGCCCGCCAGTATCTCTGCTTCTGCTTCTGGGCTCAGAGGGTTTCCCAGGGTTATCGGTGCTGTGACATTTTTATTAGAATCGTGGCAAATTGTCTATGTTGATGTGAAGAAAGTTTGTGTCTTTAATGTTCAGTTGTTCTACCCCCAAATGCAGAATGTCTTCTAATTTGTTAAAGAAATATTCTTATGTCTTTTAGGGCTGCTTGCGAATTTTCTCTAGACTATTTTTACAGATATGTGATTAAGATTTTTCCTATTTTGTCTTTGTTACATCGCTTCGTTGTATCTGCTAATCGTTTTTTTATAATACCTGCATGTGGTGTGGGCTCAAGGCACAGCTGAGATCATCGGATAAATCAGGAAATTCTCCTTTCTCTTGAATGTTGGGGACATTTGGCACAGAATTGTAGTATTTCTGTCCCCCCCCCCCCCCCCTCCAGTATTTAGTCCATGGTTTTTATTTAACAAAAAGCCAGCCAGCCTTGACCAGTTTTCCTTTTACTTTCCAAACACACTATTCTGTATGGGAGATGCCCCCCATGCATTCTTTCTCCCTGTGTCCTGAAAGTGGCAGGGTGACAGCCTGGACTGGGAGTGTTTCTTCACCAGCAAGAAGACGTCGAGCTTTCTCTGCCAGACCTTTGAAACTACAGGTTCTGTCTTATTTTGAGGGGCACAAAAGCCCCCTTGAGGTTTTACTCCTGGCTCTGTGCTGAGGGGTCGTGTCTGGGAGGTCAGTTTAGTTCCCATGCTCAGCCTGCTGGGTGTCTCGGGATGGATCCCAGATCACGCACTCGGCCTGTCGGACACCTCGCGGTGGATCCTAGTTCCTGCCGCAGTGCTGCATTCAGCCTGTTGAGCGTTACAACAGTTTACTTCTTTTGTTTGTTTGCTTTGGGGCCATCCCGGACAGTGCACAGGGCTTACTCCTTGGTGGGGCTGTGGGTGCGTATGGGTGCCAGGGCTCAGATTCAGGCTGGCAGAGTGAAGGTCAGTTCTGTACCCACTCACTATCTCTCTGACTCCAAGTCTTCACTTTTAAGGACCCAGATTACTTAGGCTACCTTATTTCATGTTGGCTGAGCTTTGATATTTTGCGTCAAGAGAGGTTTTCAGTGTATTGGCCTGAAGTTGTTTTTGATGCCCCGTGTTGTCCTTTTGGCGTCTGTAGCCCCGTGCAGAATGTGCCTTCTGGTGGTTATCGTCTCCGTTCTGGTTCCTGGAGGCTCCACTGTGCTCGTGGAGGTTCCTCAGGGAAGCTGCTCGCGCGCTGGCTGATTTTCTCTGTCGTTCTTTCAAATCTCATTGATTTGCATTCGGTTATTATTTACATTTTCTTTTTCTGCTTGCTTGGCAACTGGCTCTAATTTTTCTGGTTTCTTATTTTTCTGATTTCAATGGGAAGTGAAAATCATTGATTTGAGACTTGTCCTTTTTAAATAGGGACATTTACTGCAATAGACTGCTCCTTAGTTTTGAGGGGGCCTTATTTTCCTTCAGTTTGAATCCCCTTCTGTTTCCTTTGAGTTCTCCCTTGATATGTAGATTGAAAAAAATGTGTATTTTAAAATTTCTAAGTTTTTGAAGATTTTGCTGCTAATAATTTCTAAGTCAAATCTGCTCTAATCACAGAGTATGCTTCATGTGACTTAAATTCTTTTACATTCATTGAAATTTTCTGTCTCTGAGCTCAGATCTGCTGGTGTGCAGTCCACGTGTATTTAAGAATGCACAGCTTGCTTTTGTTGAGCGTGCTGCCCTGTGAGGGCGGGAGGGGGTTCCCAAGCCATGCTCAAGGGGTAGCACTCCCAGCAGTGCTTTGTCCACTAACTAGGTGGACCACTGAATGCTAGAATCTTAGGGTGCAGTTCTCTGGTCTGGGGGTGCCGGGGGAGGAGCTGGGGTCCTCAGCGTCCAAGGCCAGCACCTTAACCCCTGTGCTCCGTCTCCCTCCCCGAATGCTCTTTTACTGATGAATTTCCCTAGGTTTGTTTTTGTGCTTCGAATAAGTTAACGCTAGAGATGTAAAATTGAATCACATAAAATGATTCTTCTCTGAGAGAGTAAGCTGCAATTTTGACAAACAGAGTGATTTAAAATTTTTTTTATTTTAGTTTTTTTTCTTAATACTTAAAAAAATAAAGTGCTCTGGAGAGACATCTTTCCTTGCATGTAGTGGACCCTAGTTCAAATCCCTGGGGCCAAATATGGACCCCAGGGCAATGCCAAGGGGGTCAAGTCACTCCTGAGCAGGGAGCCAGGAGTGTCCCTGAATGTTGCAGGGTGTGGCCCTCCTCCCTGTGGCTGTACCACAGTTACATGGTTCCTGGGGGTGACTCACTTCTGGTCTGTGCTCAGGGATCATTCCTGGTGGTGGTCTGGGGACCATGTGGGATACTGGGGGTCTGGTTGTCTGTGTGCAAGGCAGGTGCCCTGCTGCTGTACTATGACTGTGCTCCCCCAGAGTCATCTTACATGGGGTGGTGCTCCCCGACGCCCATTTCGAGGAAGTGTTGCTCTCCCGGGTGTGTGTGTGTGTGTGTGTGTGTGTGTGTGTGTGTGTGTAGGGGGGTGGGGAGATGTCCCCAGGTCTCCGATGGCTCATCAGGCACTTACAGCCACTTTTCTGTTCGTGCTGACAACCCCTGAGCTGGTGGATGCAGGCGCACCATGCAGGCCCCTCAGTGAAGGGGAGGGCAGTGAGACCAAGGGGCCACACTTGACCTCCAGCTGCTTTTGCTTCTGCTTTTGCGGACCAGGCTTGAGCCTCTGCAGGGTCTCTGTGCCCTGGTTCCGTGAGCCGGCGCCAGCAGGGGGCGCTGTTGCCATCAGAGTCAGCCTGGCCTGCTCAGAGAGCAGGAGAGACCCAGTGCGTGTCCCCCACAGTGTTCGAGAAACTCGGGTGGTACCGGGCGTATATTTGGTCAGTCCCAGCTCCGGCTTGCAGTGGGAAGGGCAGAGCTGTGCCCTAGGTTTTGCGAATACTCTCTCTGTCAAGGCTAAGGTGTTTCCTCGCCATGTCCCTAGCATGGAGCTGGCTCTGCACGCGGCTGTTTGTGCAGTGGGACGTGAGACAGCAGCCGGCTCAGGGGCCGTCTGTACCCCCGTGCACTCAGCACTTGGTGAGAGCAGGAACACGCGGAGGGAGAGGCCAGCTGCAGGGACTCCAGAAGGTTCCATGCCAGGGCAGGCCTGGAGGAGGGGTGGGGAGGGCGAGGGATTTCTGGGCAGCCGTCGGATGAGATGGGGGCCTGTAGCAGTGGACAGGCCTCTCTCAGCTGAGGAGTGTCTCAGCAGAGCCGGAACCGGGTCGCTCGCTCCAGCTGTTTCTAGAATTCTACCGTGAAGCAAGAAGCAGCCATTTCACCCTCACTTATATTAAAAAGAAATCCCAAGGAGAGTTTGTCAGGAAAAGGAACGGCTGATAAAATTGTGACAGGACATTTTGATTGCGAGATGGCCCGATCCACTGTTTCCCGAGTGGGTGAGGCCCCCCACTCTCAGAGAGCGACGGGCGGGTGGGCAGTAGTGGGCACTGAGGGGCTTTCTGTGTGTCCGTGAAGAAGGCAATTTCCTGGAATGCAGGATTTATTTTTTAATATTATTTATTTATTTTTTTCTGGAAAGGAGGTAGTCCAAATAGATTGGGAAGTCTCTGGCAGTCCTGTGTGTGTGTGTGTGTGTGTGTGTGTGTGTGTGTGTGTGTGTGAGATATGTGTATCAGCTACAGAAAAGCACCTTTTTTCACCATGTAGCCACCGTGCAGTGGAAGAAGCCCACCATTCCTGCCACTTCTGAAGGAAGGACAAGTCCCCCGCAGCATTGCCCACCCCTGCCCCTCACTCGCCTGCCTCCTTCCAGGCCAGGGGACGCAGCAGGGGCCACTCTGCTGGGGGCGGGGGCGTTGTCTGTGCTCTGCCCTTTCCTTCTCACTCACACTCCCATTTCATTTGACTTGGCTCGGGACAGCTTTCAGCAGTGGCCTGGAGGAGGCTCCTGGCCTTTCTAAGGTTGAGTCTGCAGAGCTGCAGTGGCCAGGAAGAGGGGGGCCGAGGCCCCGGGTCAGAGAGCGGAGCGCAGATACAGCTCCTGCAGTTCCACATTCCGTCGCCAGGTTAATGGGACGAGGGCAGAGCCATCAGCAGCTCTTTCAGTTCCTTGTATCGGGTTGGCGCTCTGTGTCTGGATCGGCCTCAGCCCTCGTCCTTCAGATCAGAGAGAGGTTCCCAAACTTACTTGACTTCCCCACTCCCCCCCACTTGTTTTGGTTTGGGGTCACTGGACATGCGTGAGGGCTTACTCCTGTCTTTCTGGGGTGCTGGGGATCGAACCCAGGTTGCCCGCATACAAGGTAAGTGCCCTGGCCCCATCACACCCTTTCCAGAGAAACAGTTCTCTCACCACTGCCCTACCAGTTCTTTGGAGGGTTTTTCTAATGCTCTTTTTTTTCCCTGGAGGGTGGGGATCACAGCCGACAGCACTTGAAGGTCATTCTGGACTTGGGGGGCCATGGTGGTGGGGATTGAACAGGACCTCCCTCAGGCAAAAGCGTCTCAGCCCATGGAGCTGTCTGTCCAGATAGCCCTTGTTTGATGTTGGGCACGGTGTGGGTCAGTGACGTGCCTGGAGGACCCCTGGGGGTCCGGATTGATTGTGTTTACGGCTAAGACCCACCGACAGGCAAAGCCATGGAGCCAAGCTGACAGGTTCACGTGCACAGTGCAGGCTCAGCAAGTGGGAGTGTTCCAGAAACCAGCCCTGGATGGCGGCTCTGCTGGAGAGGGGAGCTCTGTGGTGCTGTGGGCTCTCTATGTCCCAAAGCCTGTCCATGGTCTCTGATGGGGGGGGGGGGGGGGAGACAGCCCCCTGGCTGGCCCTTGAAGCAGACGGAGCCTGAAGGGGCTCCCGGTTTCTACGGCTGTGTGGCTTACAGCGAAGAACAGAGGGAAGACGGGGTGTTCTGGTTTTGGGGCTACATCAGGTAGTGCTCCAGAGTATTCCCAGCTCAGTGCTCAGGGGACACATGGAACTGGGGGGTCGAACCCAGGCTCCCTGCATGCGGAGCATATGCTCCCGCCTGCTGAGCTGTTTCTGTGATCCTGAGGAAAGAGAAATTTTAGCCGGCCGAGTGTGCTGCTTCTGCCACTGGGGTACGTGCTTGAGTTGCTAGAAAAAAATATGTTGAAAAACCAGCATGTTTTACTGATGTGGGGTTTGCGAATTCTGAGTGAATCGGCGTTTATAAAGCGGTGGCACAGCTGTTGTGGGGGTACCTGGTCCCTTCCAGCCACGGTGTATTTATACCCGAGGAGCACAGTTGGGGAGCATCTGCCCATCCCGTACGCTTTTTTCTGAGTGGTCCAATTTGTCTTTGAGGATTTGATTGGGGAAAATGTGACATTCATTGTCTCGCCACAATCCAGTTCAGCCTGCCAGTGCTGGGCACGTCGACCTCCCTTTTACTTGATTATAGTGATAATATATAGCATGGGGAATCTTTCGAAAAATGCTTGGTGATTTGAAAGATTGAAGCGACATCTATATTTGGAATTCACTCCTGTCTTTGAACATTAGCTTGACTAAGAAAACTTTGGGTTACGGACTGGGAATGTAGCTCTGTGCTAGAACAGTCGCCTTCCATGAATGAAACCTGGGGTCAATGCTTGGCAGTGATTAAAAGGAGGAGGAGGAGGAGGAGGTGGAAAAGGAGAAGGAGGAGTAGGAAGAGGAGAAGAAGGAAGAGAAAGAGGAGGAGGACCACGATTCCCAGGTTGAAGGCGTCACTGTCCAAAAGCGTCTCTCCAGAGTTCTTTTCTGGGGCCGCTCCTGGCCTGGCTGCCCCAGCTCCTCCCTCTGCTCCTCCCTTTCCTCCCCCACACCAGGCTGCTGTCACTGGCTTCCATCAGCCTTCCTCTCTCTGGCCCCAGTTGGCAGCACTGTTGGTTTGGACTTGCATTTCCCCAGAAGGGTTGAGGGCTGGGTGATAGAGCAGTGGGCAGGCTGCTTCCCTTGCATGCGACCGATCTGGGTTTGAGCCCCAACACCCTGGTTGGTTTCCCAAGCCTTCCAGGAGTAAATCCTGGACGTAAAACCACCAGGTACGTGGCCGCCAAACCCCACCCCGAAAAGCAAAATAATTCCTCCAAAGGGCTGCACCTTCCTGCATGCTTACCTACCAGCCCTTGGCAGTCTTCTTTTAATCCACTGGCTTTGGAAACAAGCAGTTTTTCTCTTTACAGCTTCCTGAGCTGTGGGGGCCCTTTCGGTGTTCTGGAAGCTTGTCCTATGTCAGATGGATGTTTTCCAAATGTTTTTCCTAGTCTGTGCCTGGCTTTTTCCATTTGCCCAGGAATGTCTTTTGATGGTCAGACATTTCTCACTTTATGGTGCTTGTTTTATTTCTGTGTTAAAAATGTTTTCTTCCCAGGTTATGGGCATGTCCGCCCCTTTCTACAGCTTTATTATGGCTTTATGTCTGAAGCCAGTCGGATTGGCGCTTTTGACCCCTGTTCTGTGGGGTTGGTTGCAGAAAATGAGACAAACAAACACAGAAGGAGACAAAGACAAACAGAATGTCTTCACTTTCGGGTCGCGTGGGCAGACATCAGTGTTCTCACAGGCCAGCCTTCATTCGGTACTGTATCAGTCCCGAGTCCAGCTCCCAGTGTCTGAGTCGATGCTTGGTTGGCAGAGACACTAAGGACGTCAGAATTTAGTAGGTCCGCGAAGGTCCTTGCGAACCACACAGCCGTCAGCAGGCCTGGTCAGGGGGAGAGCGGGGTCTCGACAGTGGCCTGTTACCGTCTGCTCGTGCTGCTCTCCACGTCCAAACTATTTCACTCTGTTCTTTCCTGGACACAGTTCCCCACCCATTTCTATTGTCAGCTGTTTTTGCCCAAGGGGACCACACCAACCTTGGGGTTTTAGGTGGGGGACGGCTTTCCACAGCTTTAACGTCCCTGTTTACATCTACAGTTCGTCTGTGGCTAATTTTTCTGTAAAGGGTGAGTTGAGGCCTGAAGCTTATTTTATTTTTTCAAGTGTTTTTGAGTTGTTTTTGCATGATTTGTGAAAAAACTTCTCATTGAGTTTATTTTGATCTTTGTGGAAAAGAAGTGGCTTGTAAGGATGTTGGTCTGTTTCATCATTAATTCTGTTTTGTTGTCTGTGGTCTTTATGGGCAAACCAAACTTTTTGATTGCTAGGCCTCTCTAGTAAGTCTTTTTGCTTTGTTTTGGGGCTACATCCTGTTGTGCTCGGGGCTGATTCCTGGGTCTGCACTCAGGGATCACTCCTGGCTCGCTTAGGGGACCGTCTGGGGTGTTGGGATGGAACCTGGGTTAGTGGTGTGCTAGGCAAGTGCCTACTTGCCCTGAGCTGTAGGGGTGGGACAGAGGGGCTGGCCCTGAGCTGTAGGGACCTTCCTGCAGAGCAATGCCCAGGAGCACAGATGCTGCCTGTTCAGTCCTGGTCACATGCTTCCTGTCTCTCCAGGCCATATTGAAGATGGATATGTGAAACTCATTGTGATAAGTCTTAAAAACGACACAGAACACCTCCCTCTCATTGGCAAAGTCGGTCTCTCCTGGAAAACGAATGCCTTTGATGGCTATATCGAGGTAATCCATTGTTTTCTGCAAGTCACCTGGTTTCCGCGATAGAAGAGGAAGTCTGCTGGCATTTTTGTTTGAGTGGCTTTCGAGTCGTAGGTAGAATCTTCCAGCTCCTGCAGACATGCACACTTCTGTCCTTCTCCCTCTTGACCCCTGGCCATGCTTTCCTCGCTTAGTCGGTGCAGACAACCCCATTAGTCCCTGAGTGGGGGACAAGGAGTGTGGTGGCAGGATGCAGTGTACTGGGGGTAGTGGCCAGGAAGGGGGTGGGGGAGGGGGCGGGGGTTGGGAGGGAGAGAGGGAGGGAAGGGGAGCGGAGGGAGAGGGGGCTGTAGGTCGGACCGCGCGAAGCAGAATGCCTTCCTCACTCCTGCGTCAGTGCAGCCCTTTCTGCGGTCCAGGCTCCAGGCTGCAGATCCCGTGGCCCGGTCGCTCCCTGCTGAGAGGCCGCTTTGTTTCCTAGAACTGCTCCATACTGGACATCACCGTCCTGGACGAGCGTGGGAGGCCCTTCTGGTGCCTCAGCTCCCCGGTCAGCATGGCGCCTGTGCCCGTACCCTCCGACGGGCCTCACTTCTCCGGCCGCTCCTACTGTGTGGACTACGTGGACGCCGAGGGCCGCGTGCACGTGGAGCTGGTGTGGGTGGAGGAGACGGAGGAGTTCTTCATCGTCAGCCTCGTCCTCTTCCTCAGCACCGCCAAGGTCAACCGCTGGTTCGGTACCCGCCACTGAGCTGCCGGCCTCGCCCTCCCTCTCGCCCGGACAGTTGAATAAAGCTGGGTTTGTCTGTACTGCCTCCTGGCTCACCTGGGAAATGGCCTTCTGGCCCCTTTCTGGGCTACTGTGTGGAGCAAGGGTTTTTCAGACGTTCCTCCAGGTGTCAGAAGGCTGAAAATCATTGGTTTGGAGGATCAGATTGAAATTTTAAAATAGGAAAATGGCACATCTCAAGGGAATTGATGGGTGAGGTAACGGGGCTGGCTGGTGCCCAGCAGTGCTCGGAGATCACTTCTGGCGCTGCATGCAGGGATCTAACCTGGGTCCTCTGGGGACAAGTGCCTGAACCCCCTGAGGGAATGTTTTAGCAAAGAAAAGAAAAGGAAATGTAAAGCTACTCCGCCTCCAAGTCTCATGGGTGAGTGGTGCAGCTTAGGCTGTGGCCAGGTGGCCGTGCAGGTGGCACCTTGACCTATCGTCAGGTCCCAGCTGCAGTCAAGCAGAGAAAATCAGCCACATTTCCGGGAGGGACAGGAAACGATTCCTGAGAGGAGCACAGGTGCTCAGGTGCAGAGGCGGTCCCAGCCCACAGGCCGCCTGCTGCAGGACAGACAGGTCATGGCCAGTAAAAAGGGGCACCCTCAGGGTCAGCCATCTCGGGCCCGCAGCGCTCGGAGTGCACCCACTGCCAGCCCTTCCTCGAGAGGAAATGGGGGTCCTGATGTGGGGGTTCTAAACCCCAAGCAGAGATGGGGCGCTGGGTTCACTGCGTGCACGACTCTGGGAGAGGAGCAGGTGCAGACTCCAGCGTGCGCTTGGCAGAGGAGAGAGGGGTCTTAGGCCCTGGTGACGGGCACACTTTTGTTTCAAGGAGATTTCCAGCTGTCAGATAGGGTTGGAGACCAGGTCAAAGCCCATGGCTCTGGTGTGACTCCGTCGCTGTCCTTGTCACGAAAGCTGCCCCCGAGGCATTGTTGATGCAGGAAGAAGCCCTTTTCTCTGGGGATCTCTCTGGAGCGCAGTCCCAGAGAGACGCATGCCCTTTGTGCCGGAGACGTCCAGGGGAAGGTGCTTGCTTGCATGCAGCTCGCTCTAGTCTGGCCCCTGGCCCTGTGAACTTCCCGGAGCCCCACCAGGAGTGATCCCTATGCACAAGGCCAGCTGACTGTGCCCAGTACCCCTGCCCCGACAAAAGGAAACATGCCTCCAGCCCCGGGGTTGGGGCGGCATGTGTATGCAGTCACTGGGCATGTCTGGACACCTCCAGGGCTGCCCCCAGTACTGCCAGCAGTCGAGCCCTGGACTCTTGGCCCTCTCCTCTCTGTTTTTCTGTGGGCTTTCCCCCGGCCTCACCCCTGCCTCCATCCAGAGCATGTGATCTTGGGACATGTCTCCCCAACTGCAGCTGCAGAGTCAGATCACACCTGGCCCCAACTCTGGGGCTTGGGGGAGCACCAGGGCTCCCCGTGGCACTCAGGGCCCTGCTGCCACCTGCTGGTTCTTCAGGCAGGACAGTTGGGCCTGGTGATGGGGTACGCATGGGGGGACAGTGCCCCCGGCACCCAGCCCTCTTCTTTGTTTTTATGCGGGCTGTGGAATCTTGTTTCAGAGTACCGATTATCTGCCTTTACTGATGAGATAGGCCTGTCTCTGAGAGACACGCAGAAAACCGCCTTGTGTGAAGTATGTGCAGAGTCTGTTTCGGCTACATTTTCATTGTAGTGGTGTTTGGGTTAGGCACATTTACAGGAGAATTTAGACAGTGGAAATAGTGAACTCCAAGTAAGACTGATAGTAGGAACTTCATCAAAGAACTTCATTCAGACTTGGAAGAAATGATGAGTGCTAAGAAAATACTGAGTGGGGCTGGAACCATAGCACAGCAGGTAGGGCATTTGCCCTTGTATGCGGCCGGCCCGGGTTTTGATTCCCAGCATCCCATATGGTCCCCTGAGCACCACCAGGGGTGATTCCCGGGTGCAGAGCCAGGAGTAACCTCTGTGTATCACTGGGTGTGACCCAAAAAGCAAAAAAAAAAAATGCTGAGTGGCAAAAATGTTAGTTGATATCATTTGATGAGGACCAACATGATCAGTGAATTCATCTTGTGTTGTGAGATTTAAATGGAAAGCCATTGGTCCTGATGAAAATGAAAAAAAATGCGAACTGTATAGTTACATGACCAACAGTGGACCAAAGGAGTACATTGGTTTAATGGCGCTTATTGGCACTATAATTTGAAGGAAAATGTTTTGTTGATGAATAGAGTCTAAACATCCTCAGGGCCAAAATAGCGGAGGAAGAGCAGTCTGTACTGATTCCAGATGTTGAGTAGCTTTTAACTGCAGTGTGCTATAAGCTAAGGCAAATGTGTACGTTTCACATCAGGGACCAGAAGGATAAATGGACAAATAAATGTGGTTTGAGTTGCTGAAGTCATGTGCTGGTGAAAACATCGCATGTATTTCTACTAGAGTGGCCATCGTGTCATCTCATACTAAAAAAATGGGGCGTTCAGTTCCTGTTTCATGAACTCTGCAGTGAGGCCCAAGTGCCTGCTGTGAGCTGGCTCCGTCCTGTGTTTGCATAAGCCTCCAGCCTTGTGCTCCGACACGTGCTGATTGATGGCCTTTGCTGGGACAAGAAATTGGAGTGTCAGGACTAAGGCTCTAAGTGGTTCCCGCTCACGGATTTATGGAGCCCGTTTCCTGTTCCCAGGGGAAGACTCGCTCTCTGTACTGCAGTTTTGCGGCCTAGCTGGGTGGCTGGGCTGCCTTGTTAGTTTCTCACTGTGCAGTGGAAGGTCCCCAGGCCCGGTGTCACCAGGTCCTGCAGCACAGGGTGCGGGTGACTGAACTGTGGTGGGAAACTCGTCCCCCATGGATCAGGATGAGTCACAGCTCCGTCCTGGGCACAGAGTTAGGTGTCCTGCCCAGCCAGCCCGAAGGCCTGCAAAATACAGGCTTCATGTGAGGTCAGAAAGCAGCTGAGATACAGAACTCCAGAGCCTCAGTTGGACCCCCAGGAGGAGAAGTCTCAGTGGGGGCAGCCGTGTGCTTCCATCCCCCGATGGATGCGAGACCCCTCCAGCGGATGGCTGGGCAAGGAGACAGTTGTCCCCTGGATGTTCTAGAAGGCCCCAGAACTTGGTCGTAAAGCAGGAGTCGACTCTGGCTTCTTGGACAGAATCCTGAGGCTCACCTACAATTCCTCTGACATGTTGGACTTAGAGAAAAGTGTGGAGACCACGCCACCCTTTTTCCCCCAAGATGGGCAGCCTGAGCCTGGGCTTTGAGGTAGGAGAGCTGTGTCTCTGCTTGGGACCTCTGGCGCTTTGGGCTCCCAAGCACCTTCCCTGAGCCTGAGAATGACCCTTGGCCGGAATCCCCCACCCCATCCCACCCCACTCCCCCCTTGCCGGGGGCTCGCAGGAGCTTTGTTCACGGCCTTCCTTCTAGCTGAGGGCCGGGGACACACAGCAACTCCTCACCCTGAGCCGAGCTCCACAGGGAAGCCTGCCACACTGGCTGTGGGCAGCCCCCAGAGGGCACTTACTTCCTACAGTCCTGCTTTCCCACCTGGGCTGCTGGCCTGGACCGTTGTGTAGGTGGGCAGGGACACTGAGGACAGTTCGTGGGCACCTCGACAGTAGGTGCAGGAAGGGCAGAGGCTGGGCCGACCCCACGGCCAGCCAGCAGACACCTGGCACACTAGCACCGGACAGTTTCCTCGTCTGTTTCTGCCCACGTTGCCCTCTCCATCTCAGAGGCCCTAAACTTATATTTTATGCTTCCCTGGCTCAGGCATCTGTCCTCTTTCCCGCTCTTCTCTTTCCTGGGTGCAAGTTTTCAGTGCTTCATATTCTAAGACCTAAACTGTTTTACCCAGGAGACTATCCCAGTCTTGGAGCTTTTTGTCAGGGGGAAATTTTCCCACGAAGTTTAGATAAGACTTCCGCCACACTCCCACGGAGGTGTTGGAAACTCCCTGTGGATGAGAGTTGGGCCCGTCACTCTGCCTTTCACTGGCTCTGATCGGGTCTGAGCTGGTTGCCTGGGAAAGGCGGGTACCGAGGCCCCTCCCGGGAGAAGTCCAGTAGTTATATTAGGTACCAAGTGGCACAGATGGCTCTGAGGTCGCGCCCCTCCTTGTCCTCCTCCACGGCACCTCCTGGGAGCATGTGCATGTGGGAAGATGCAGCTGAGACGGTCCCTCTCAGCAACCTCAGAGCTTTTCGGGCATGGCGGGCGTGGGACCATCTGGGCAGTGGAGATTGGGGGGAGGAGCTTCTGTCCCGGTTCGAGCTTCACTGTGCACTTGGGGGACGACCTCTAAAATGCTGTTCAGCAGTGCGGCCGGCTGACCGTGCTGGCAGGCTGAGGGCAGCCTGAGGCTTCACGCTTCAGCAAGAACGTGCAGGGTGCAGAGATGACCCTTGTGGCCCTCCACACTGCGGCACTCCACACGGTGAGGCTGGAGGGGGAGAGATGGGAGGCCCTGGTAATGGATAGTGGGGACTCTGTCTGGAACCCAGCCAGCCTGAAGGCCTTCAAAATACAGGCTCCCTGTGAGGAGATCAGAAAGCAGCTGAGATACAGAATTCCAGAGCCTCAGTTGGACCCCCGGGAGGAGAAGTCTCAGGACTTCTTGGATCCGTGTTGATAAAGGACTCTGGGATCTCAGAGCTTTCCCCCAGGGACAGCCCATTAACTCCCTGTGCAAAGATTTCCAGTTGCAGAAAATTGTCAGTTTATAACCAGCCCCAGGGTCATTGAGTGCTGACTCCGGGGAAACCCGTGCTCTCTCTTGAGTGTGCAAATCTTCCTCTTCCCCTCCCAGATAAACTTCTCGCCACTATTTGTCACCTTTCTGAAATTCTTTTCTGTGAGGGTCGGCAAGGGACAGAAGGAGAAAGGAACCGCGGGTAGAAGTTCGGACTGATTTCCCTTTTCTAATGAAAAGCAAGTCCTTGCTCCATTCTGAATTCCACGCTCCCGAGAAAACAAGTGACCGGGATTCATCCCCACGTCGTGTTGACTCAGCGGAACCCAAGTGTAGTTCTGTGAGACCAAGG